GCAGTTGTAGGATCCAGAAAGGGCTCAGACAATGCCACACTAGTTGCTCAACTAGTAGGTTAACATCTACTGGTGGAGGCTGTGTGATGATGTGGAGTGGCACTTTTCACATTGGAAAAGGAATTGAGATCACTGAGACAATCTCAATGCACGGAGATATTGGGATGACATTCTGGAGTCAGTGGCGGTCCCAGTCTGAGATGAAACTCCAGCCTACAACTCTCACCCATAGAAAAGGGTTTATCAGAAACTACTTTCCGATTTTAGGGGCAGACAGGAAGGATTAAAAAAAAATTATTTCAGTCACTCAAAATGTCTTATGTAAAATATCTCCTCTTTTGTCTGGTTTTATCATGAAAAAATGAGCATCACATAATCAAACTGGCATATAAAGGGTTAAAATTTAGATAAATATTCAATATTTGATTTTTTTTTATCAGAAACTGAAGTTGATCACAAGATTTAGACCCAAAAAGCAGAAAAAAAGATTAATCTGGACCATTTTTAAAGCAGTTTTAAAAGTGGACGTTTTTGTCCTCTAATGGCTCGAGTGTATAGTAAATTTTTAGTCTGTTGCTATGTAAAAACTATAAATGCAAAAAATTCAAAATTTTAGATATTTCATAACATATCAAGACTGATTTGTACTAACCTAGGCAAAAAATATGTCTTTTTTAGAAAATAAAGTTTTAGTGTTTTTTATTTTTTTCATAAATTACAGCAATGACTTTGAGTATTCAAAATGGCATTTCAAGGGTTATAAGCCTCAAAATGATTGAATTTTTATTTTAAATGTTTCAGCAGGGCTGAAGTTGTTCAACAGATCTATGAAAAAATGCAACAAAAAATTAATGTATACATTTTTTATAGCCACTTTTACAAGCGGACGTTTTTGTTCTCTAATGACTCTTTTGTATGAAAATTAAAGTGAAGCCTGAGGGTTACATCTTTTATGGAACCAAGATGCATTTTCCTTGCAAATGTGGGGACATTGAAAGGACAATAAACAGAATTTCAAGCAGAATAAGATTTATTGACAATAGTCATTGTTACAACAATGAAGTAAATTTGGTATGGTATGGTTACATGCTGGTGAAGGTTCTCAGTCATCCACGTCACGGTAGTCCAAAAGTGTTCAGATGAAGGCAACTGGACTACTTTGGTTTCTTGAAGACGTTTCACTTCTCATCCAAGGAGCTTTGTCATTTCTGACTGGAATATGGGACAGTCAAGCTTATAAGCTGTAGCTGTCTGTTGTTGTTTAACGAGCAGAAACTACTCTGATTCACCCTCCTCTCGACTCATTGGGGGGTAGAGAGGAGGGTGAATCAGAGTAGTTTCTTGACAAATTGACAAAGCTCCTCGGATGAGATGGGGAAACGTCTTCAAGAAACCAAAGAAGTTCATTTGAACTCTTTTGGATGAAGGTATGGTAAGTCTCCTTTTAGCATTTGCTTTGTTTGGTGAAAATGGTTAAACTGTACTGTGTAATTAATAGAAAATATCACTGTGAGCTTGTCTGTGACTGAAGTCAGCTACATGTCATGCTTTAGCGAGAAACTCTCTGTATGTTTCCTGCTTGTTGCCGTCGTTTACTGTCAGAATTCCAGTAATGCTGATCTACTTGCTGGATGGCTTCGCTATAAAGACGCGGGGAAATTCCTAACAATTTCCTGTTTTTGTTTTAGTAAAATCTAGGATCCAGACATGGTGTTTTGAGTTTTACTCTAGAACATGTCAAAGTTACTGTAGAGTGGTAAATGTGTTGCTTTTAAGCTTAATATATTACCTTTACTTATAACCAATAAGCTGTGATACTCTATATAAATGTAGAATACCAACCTGCTTGGTCTTTGGATGTTTAATCAGAAGATTCTAGGTTGCTTTTTCAGGGATCAAACACACTTCGTATCAGTTCAGACAGTCAGGTTTATAAAAGATAAGAAATTTATTTTCTAAACAAATTAAGAACAAGACAAGTTAACCAAGGCTACTGTGATGGATGAATCTAAGAGGATGGGATGTGATGTGTGGTGACTATGTGTGAATGGGAGGTTATCAGAACCTTCGTATCCAGAAGAACTGAGTTCTGGGTGTAAAAAGGAGAATTTGGTTTGCATTAAGCTATGAAGTTGGTTCTTATCAAAACGGCGTGAGATGCAATCTGTGTGTCTACCTCACCCTTTCTTTGGAGACCCTCTTCGCGGATCCAGAGGTCAGGGAGGTCGGATGACCGCTGGGCACCGAGGTTTGGTAGATTAACCGCAGCACCGACTCTCCAGTCCGGAGATGTTTCCGAGTCACAACAGATAGATGAAATCGTTTACGTCTAGAACAGCTGTTTCTGAATAGCTGAAGGAACCGTTTTGCTGAGTCAGCGGTAGGCGGCTTTTAGCATGGTTTTTGACAGCTTGCCAAAAATGCTCTGGGTTGAAGAGGGTTCGCTACGGATGGCCTGTCCGTAGCTTTCTATAGAACTGACTCACAGTCTAGTGAGCTCTGTATTAATATTCTCATATTAAATTTCTTGGCCAACCGGGACATGCCATGTTAAGGGGTGTTCACAAGCAAACCTCAGAACGTCAGGCCTCTTTCAGATACAGGATGTTCTGATTTGTGGAACAGAAAGCAGTGTGTCAGGATATTAGCTTAACCTTGTCATCGTCACGTGTCTGAGTGTGTGAGCTGTCAGAAAATAGCGATCCACTTGTTAAACCAACATTACTGATCATAATATCAAAATGTTTCATTTCAACCACAGTAATTTAAGCAGATTCATTAGCGTTATTAATTTAAGCACAGATTAATCAAAACATTATTGATCATTTCATATAACATTTGTTCATTCCATTTCACGATTGATTAACTCATGTGAGCTGAAAATAGTCACTTTATTCAGAGGCATGAGGAATCCTGCAGTGTTATCAGAAGAAGGCTTTGTTTGGGAACACGGGCTGACATCGTGTTCCTCCTGAAATGCCAACAAGGTTTGTAGAACCTTGTTGCTTGTTGGAAGGTAGAATGTGAAATCCACCTTAGAGAATGGAATTCATGTCTTCCGATGACCGGTGGCATGTAGGTCAGTTTTTAGGTGAAAACTGACCATTGCTGGATGTTACACTACCAGTTATATATTTGAGCATGAATTTAAAATGTTTGATCATAAGATAGAAACACAAAAGGAAGTTTCCACCTACTACAGGAGTTCCTCATGCATGGTTCAGGGTTGTGTGTTTGATTTTTCTTTCCTTTGATGTGCAGATATGTATCTGTTCGTTTATGCTTGTTTTATTTATTCTTTTCTAGGGTATGCCTGAGCAGTGGGCGCGTCTCCTTCAGACCTCCAACATCAGTAAAACAGAGCAGAAGCAGAATCCTCAAGCTGTCCTCGATGCTCTCAAGTTCTACGACTCCACCGGTGTACAACAGAAATACCTCACATCCCCTGCCTCGGGTCAGCTCCCTTCACATCAGCAAATATATTTACACAATTGTTCAGATCTTTAAACTTGACTTTCAACTGTTTTTCCTCTTTTAGAGAAAAATTCGCAAACGGTGAGTTACTTCATTTAGTGTTTTCTTTTCTTCATCTGACCAAAGATCTAACGTTCATCTCTTTTTACGTGTGGATATTTGCTTCTACAGCCGGGTAAGCAAGGTACCGTGACCTCCCCGTTAGGTAAAGACGATGACGATGATGATGACTCACCACCCCCAGTCGTGGCACCTCGGCCAGAGCACACCAAATCTGTAAGCTGCATTTAAACTAATTTATATTTGGCTCCTTTTTGGTTATTTTCTGACTAAAATTAATTTAACAAATGTTTTTTAAATTGTAAGGTGTACACAAGGTCAGTTATTGACCCAATCCCAGCTCCTGATTCTGCCAAAGCTGCTGACAGACAAAAAATAAAGGGAGGCAAGATGTCTGATGAAGAGATCATGGAGAAACTAAGTATGTAAATATCACTTACGTGTGCGTGTGCGTGTGTGTGTTAAATAAAATTGTTACTATAAAGAATTGCGGATGCTGTGATTTGTTTACTTGTATTTTTTACTGTTGTTGTGATTCACAGGAACGATAGTCAGTGTGGGAGATCCAAAAAAGAAATATACCCGTTATGAAAAAATTGGCCAGGGGTGAGTCAAGATTCACGCCGGATTAGCACAAAAAGGATAGATGCTTATTATTCCATGTGATTTTTTAAATTTATATTCTAATTTATTGGTTTATTTATTTTTTCAGGGCTTCTGGCACAGTTTACACAGCCATAGATGTTGCCACAGGACAAGAGGTGAGTGTACATCCTCATATTGTGTTTATGCTCCTATAAAAATGTGTTTTTTTCTGCTCATCGTTTGTTTTAGATGAATTCGGTTCAGTTTTTTTTTATGTAGCACCAAATCACAAGAGTCATCCCAACGCACTTTACAAAGCAAACATAAACCTTTAAAATGTCACAATCTGCTCCTGCCTCCCAGACTGTGTCTCTCCTCTGCCCCTGCCTCCCTGACTGTCTCTCCTCTGCCCCTGCCTCCCTGACTGTCTCTCCCCTGCCTGATTAGTCTTTATTGTTCTCACCTGCCCCGTGTTAATCCGCCCACGTGTTCCTGATTTTCCCGTGTATTTATACCTCCCTTCTTGTATCAGTCTTTGTCGGATCATTGTTTGTTGTCAGCGTTGTTTTGTTCTGCCGTTCCCGCTCTGCCATTAAAACTACTTTTATTTAATCCGTGCCTGCATTCCTGCCTCCTGATCTGCTCCACCACACATGGTCCGCCGCCATCCACACCCTCAACGTGACATAAAAGATCTTAATTATCCCTTTTATTTATATGTCGATGCTTTAGTGTCATAATCTGTAGAAATATGCTTTACCAAACTTTTTTTTTTTTTAATTTTTGCAGGTGGCCATAAAACAGATCAACCTGCAAAAGCAGCCAAAGAAGGAGCTGATTATCAATGAGATCCTGGTGATGAAGGAGATGAAGAATCCCAACATTGTTAATTTTGTAGACAGGTAACACCCCCACATCCTGCAGAGACCTAAGTGGGATAAAAAGTCAAAGAACTTACTATGATTGGACTGTGTTTAGTTTCCTCGTTGGCGATGAGCTGTTTGTGGTAATGGAGTACCTGGCAGGTGGATCTCTGACTGATGTTGTGACAGAGACGTGCATGGACGAGGCTCAGATCGCTGCGGTCTGCAGAGAGGTAAGGCTCATCTCACAACTGGCTGAAACCAGTTATTTCATGGGCCATTCCCACCTGTACTGGGTCGGCCCGGGCTGGGTAGCGTAGGTTGTTTACACATCTGGGTGGCCTGGTATTTTTCCGGGCCAACCAAGGCTCATTCTCAGCCCTCTTCTCGAGGGGGTCTGCTTCAGGCCGACCAGGGCCAACACACCCACTGCTGACAGCAAATTCACACCTTCTATTAGAGCAAGCCTCTGATTGGTGGGTAGAATCAGCCCACATGGGCTTAAGGCAAGGATGCGTGGAATCAACCGGGCCAGGCTGGGGCCGACTGGGGCTACCCGGCCCGGGCCAACCCGGTACAGATGGGAATGGCCCATCAGCTACCCAGAGTTTACCACTAGAGGTTGACTGATATTGATTTTTCTATTGCCGATACCTATAGGTGGCGGTTATGGTTAGCCGATGGCTGATAGATGCTGCTTATTTTTTGGGGCTGATTTTATGGCTGATATTTTGCAGCTTATCTGAATGCTAAACTATCACTAATCGTAACACTGGATGCACCACATTTCTGAACCTAATCATGTTTTAAAACTGAATTTTCACTGAATTTAACCAACTGGTGGGTCTTAATTTAGTGCTCTGCTCAGCATTAAAATTAAAAATTTACCAAGATTAATAAAAAGATCAATAAACTGACCAAGTAGTAAATATACAAAACAGGAAAAACAGAAATGTCAGTTGATAATGTTTCAGAGCATTTATTAAGCAGATGTTTTTCAGGGACGTAAATTTACATGTAAATAAAAATAAATGCAATTTTAGAATATAAAGACTAATTCTACTGAATAAATGTGTATAATGTAATAAGTGAATAATGAATAGAGCTGAAAACACAATAGTGACCTGCTAAAACACACCAGCAACATCTAAAGTTCATTCAGTCTTTAACTATTCTTTATATAAACTATAAATGAAACCCTTTAGTGCTCTTGACTCAGCAGCAGCGTAAGCCTGGAGATGGGAAACCCTCGGGTTGTGTTGTTTTTATTTTTTACCTTTTTCAGCTCCCAAGCTCAGCAGTCCCCTGCTGATATCACACCTTGTGTCGACTGGTGCTGGCACCATGACTTGCTGCCATGCTGGAAATGACTTTTGTTGAGCTATCAGACAGAAACTAACAGGAGAAACAGTTGTTAGGGTTTTTGTAGAGCATCCATATTCAGTTCAGTCTTTAGCAGGGAGAGCAGGCATCAACGAGGAACTCGGCACATTACAGCCTATAATAAATATAACATTACAGAAACAGCTGAACACTCATTTAAAGTGCACCCTAACTATTCACTAGTGTTACTGATTGTTTATGTTACACAGATTTAATGTGGAAACAAACCGTAGAAATTAAGCATAGTCTTTAGTCAGATCCAACTCGGCTCAGGCTGTTCCTGTTCACAGATTACACGGTAAACAGGAAAAAACCAGATAAAGGCTTTCAATTATACAGCCATCGTTTCCTGTGTTTGTTCATGTCATCCAAATAAAAATGACGTGCTTCGACTCTGACCCACATGAGAAAAGTTGTGAACAGACACAAAAAGCATCACCAGCTGTGAGGGGGGGGGGGGCTAACAGCTGCAGCTCCGCCTCCTCTCCTCCACGCAGAGTGAAAGTCTCCATCTGTCATACATACGGGCAAACAACTGGAGCGAATATGTTAAACAAACAAGCAGCTAGCCAACATTAAGGAGCACTTACCGGCAGCTCTTGCGGCTCATTTTTGTTCTTCCACTCAGTTAAATATTATTTAATGTTTTACTTTTGATATTCACTAAATATACAGCTGTAGGGTTTTGAAACATCAGAAGAGAAGCTATTTCTTTTACTGCAATGTTTTGGATTGGGGTCCTTCACAATTAGCTACTGTATTGGGCTGCCCGCGAAGGTGCCTGACTTTAAATTGGCTGTACTAAAGACAGGGTGTCCGCGGGGTTTTAAAAAGTATTAAAAAGTGATAAATAAAAATAGTCAAATTTAAGGCCATTAAAAGTGTTAAATTTGGTCTCAGAGGTATTATTTTTTCCAAATTAGGTATTATTTTTTCAGACTATCAGATGTCGTATTCTCAACATCGACATAGAAATATATTCCGAATGAAATGTTTTGAACAATTATAAAAATAAAACGAGCCGATTATTTGCTCCTCCCACTTGCGCTGCCCTGAGTTGCAAATGAAGCGCTCCTCCTGGACAGTGTTGCCAACTTGGCGACTTTGACGCTATTTCTAGCAGCTTCTCAGACCCCCTTCTTGACTTTTTAAATCTTAAAAGTACCAACTACCTAGCGAACACCTCAGAAACATCTCAGGTAACCCTTAGCTACTTTTTGGATAACTGTCGTCGACATTTCCTGCAAGTTAGCTAAACACTCCGGACCGTTCTTCAGGACATTAGGAAAGGGAATGATGTAGTGATGTGTCAGTCGCTACAGAAACAGCTCTCAGAGTCGGCTCCCTGTTGGAGTAACCAGAGTGAGTGACACACACACCGCACCTGCGGACTCCTGAGCCGATAAAAACGGCTAAATGTGCGCGTGCGGCGCGTTAAACACATGTGCAGCTTGCCCCCGATTGTTGTGAGACCGGGTTGGGGGGTGGGGGGTGCAGCTGTGGTTGGGACAATTATTACATTAACTGATGGACTTGTAAATAAATAGTTTATAAATAAGGTAGAAATAAGTTCCTCACGCTGATAAATAACTAATCTCTCTGAGGACACGGTGCTAGTGCACTCTCCTACAGCACCTTGACATGACTAAATAAATGTTATGCAAAATTTAGTGAACATCAATTTGCATGTATTTGTTATAAATGCCACTGTATAATTCTTGCTGTCAGTATTAGCAAGATATTGGTATTTGGGTCTGTACTGGTTAGACTTAAATGAGTTAAACCAAGGTCTACAGCCCTTGGGTCATAAACTATGAGCTATGAGTATATTGGTCTTTTTATACTGGGAATCAGGAGTTATTTTAGTGATCATCTTGTTTCTTGTTTATTTTTGCCCTGATTGTGCCCTGAGCAGTTTTATGACTGAATAAAAAAATAAAATAAAAATCTACATAAATTGAAAAATCGTATTAAATAATCGAGATCTCAATTTCAGTCACAATAATCGTGATTATTGTTTTTGCCACAATCGAGCAGCCCTACTTAAGCATATCCGGTCACATAATGATGACGTCATATTCAGTGGTCGTTCTGCATCATTTCAGGCCTCGTGGTCAACTGTCTGAACCGCTGAAAAGAAGTGCCTGGCTTATTGTAAAATAAATATGTGCAATACGTTGTCAACATCAGTGAGTCTCTAAGTCTATTCTTTTTGTATGTTATATATGTTAAAATATGTGTAAATAGGTCGCTGATTAACACATGCAATTTAGTGTTGTGATGGTTTTAAAAAAATTCTGAAGGTAGTAAAAAAAGTATTAAAAAGTAGTAAATTTTACTTAAGGATTGCTGTATATACCCTGAAAGAGGCTTATCGGCTAATATGGATGAAAAAATACTAAAAATCAGCCTCATTGATCAGCCAACCATTAAATCGGTCAATCCCTATTTACCAATACTATAGGAACTCAGTCAGCTTCTCTCCCTATTTGCTGTTTGTGTAATTGTGTGTGTGTGTGTGTGTGTGTGTGTGTGTGTGTGTGTGTGTGTGTGTGTGTGTGTGTGTGTGTGTGTGTGTGTGTGTGTGTTCTTTGTTCTGCCTTCAGGTCCTTCAAGCTTTGGAGTTTCTTCATGCCAACCAGGTCATCCACAGAGACATCAAGAGTGACAATGTACTCCTGGGGATGGATGGATCAGTCAAACTCAGTGAGGACGAATACACACAAACACATTTTCCCTTTCACATTGTCTTCTAGATCTTTACAGGCTGTAAGATTAAGGGAGGTGGAATTTCGTCCATATATGTCGACTAATTAATGGAATTCACCTCATCTGTCTTTCTTTTTTGCAGCTGATTTTGGCTTCTGCGCCCAGATCACCCCAGAGGAGAACAAGCGCAGCACTATGGTGGGAACTCCGTACTGGATGGCTCCAGAGGTGGTGACCCGGAAAGCTTATGGACCCAAAGTAGACATTTGGTCTCTGGGGATTATGGCCATAGAGATGGTGGAAGGAGAGCCTCCTTATCTAAATGAGAATCCTCTCAGAGTGAGTGTGTCCTGTTAAAACAATAAGGTCAATATAATATTACTCAGTGGCTTATTGCTGCTGAATTGTTTTATTTTTATTTTTTCAGGCGTTGTATTTAATTGCCACCAATGGAACTCCAGAGCTGCAGAATCCAGAGAAGTTATCTCCTGTCTTCAGGTCCTTCTTGTCCCGCTGTCTAGAGATGGATGTGGAGAAGCGAGGTTCAGGCAAAGAACTACTGCAGGTTCAACAAACATTCTTCAAAAAATGCATCTTTAATTTATCAATAAGCTTATTTGATCAAACGTTTAAATGATTCACCTGGAGATTTGGAGTTTTGCTAAACTTGCAGCATGACATGTTTTTCAGGGGAGGTTTTGTCTCCAAAGTTTTATGATCTATCAGCACTGCCACTAATTGAAGTGTCCTCGGGGCAGACACAACAGAAGTCGTTTAAACCCGTCATTCCAATAGAACAAGTATACAGGTGAAACTCAAACAGTAGAACATGGTGCTAAAGTTCTTTTATTTCTGTAGTTCAAAGGTGAAACTAATTTATGAGATAGAGGCATCACGTTAGTCATAATTGTGATGATTATGGCTCATAGCTTTGATAACCCCACATTCAAAATCTCAGACAATTAGAATATTATATGATCATCTTTCTCTTACCAATTCCACATAGAGTTTCTATGGGGTTCAGGCCAGGTGAGTTTGCTGGCCAATCTAGCACAGTAATCCCTTGGACATTGAACCAGGTTATGGTACTTTTGGCAGTGTGGGCAGGTACCCAGTCTTATTGAAAAATGAAGTCAGCATCTTCATAAAACTTGTCTGTGGAAGGAAACACAAAGTGGTCCAAAATCTCCCAGTATACGACTGCATCTACTCTGGACTTAATGAAGCACATAGGTCCAACACCAGCAGACAAGATGACATTACTCCCCAAATCAACAGACTGTGGAAACTAAATACTGGGCTTCAAGCATCTTGGATTGTGTACCTCTCCTCTAGAATCTGGGTCCTTGGTTTTCAAATGAGATGCAAAAGTTGCTCCCAACAGAAAACAGGTCTTTGGACTACTGAGCAACACACATGTACTTTTTTTCCCCATGGGAGATAGCCTGGCCACCAGGGACTTGCACACAGAAGATGGGCGACCCTACCAGGTGAAAAAATACCCTCTGGCATCATAGATCCTAGGATCATGAAGGCTCTCAAACTCCTCCAATACAGTAGGGTGGTGGTTCAAGGAGCAGTCGCAATTGTACCCAATTCTCTATTGCAGCTCTTCACGACAAAGTAACTTTAGTTTTAGAAGAATTAATTCTACAAAATCTTTATTTGCACAGAATACAATGACTTAAAGGTGGAATGTGGAACATTTTAATAAAAAGCTATATTTAAAAGAAAACAGTACCTTGACGGGGCATTTAGAGATGTGCAGAATGAATGTATAGTTTTTCTTTTAAAAGCTTATTTAAAACAATAAATAACCACATTTTAATTTTGTCGGGCACGGCACTGATTTACATCTACTAGCCACTAGAGGGCATTGTTGCAATAAAAAGTCTGCTCAGCAAGGCAAGTCTGGGACTGTGTAAAATGCATAGGCGTCATTTTAACCGGGGACGCCGGGGACATGTCCCCGGCAAAATTCGTGATCGGCAGCTGTGTCCCCCCCCCCCCCCCCCCCCCCCCCCACACACTTTCAAAAAAGCCTGCTGATGAGGATTTTTGTTTTACCTGCTCAGATCTTATACCAGGGGTCGGTAACCTGTTCCCATCAAAGAGCCATTATTGTCCATTTCCCACGGAAAAGAAAACACCGCAGTAGCCGCAGCGTTGCGGGCGGGGCCTACCCTCAGACAGCAGAGCGCTGCTCACAACAGGTGACAGCAGCCGGGGGCTTCGCACCCGTGGGGGATTCAACACCCACACTTTTCCAGCTGTTTTGCTCACCTCCACACCAGTCTGGTTTCTTTACGTCGCACTCACTCTGCCTCATCTCCTTCTTCACCTCCCAGCCGATGTCGGATTTCCAGGAGAGCAGGAGAGGGAGGGACGGAAGAGCTCGACTGAATTCATAATTTTACATCTTGACATTAGCTGTACAAAGTCTGAGTTTGACAAAGTGAAGAACAACAATTTGCAGAGGTTTATAACTGGCGGTGGGCCACGGTAATTTTGGACGGACCTTAATAAGCAGAGACTTAAGTGAAGCAGGCAGGTCGCGCTAGAAAATTTAGTTTAAAAAGACGTCATAAATGTTTTCCCCAGTCATTTTTATTTCTAAAATATGAAGTAAAAACTCACAATTTAATTTTCATTCATTTGTCATTAATATTTAGTCTACAACCGTGCGTTAAGTGGACCAACTTCCAGTAAACGCAAAGCATCCAGTCCACCTCTCCAAATGCGTAAAATGTGCATCAGCCGCTAGGCGTGCCGCGCGCACCATCAGCTGATCAGCCCAGACAAAAGCAGAGCAAATAGAGAAAGAATAGAGGATGATTGTGTCTGGATGTGGATGGAGATTACATTTTACATCAGCCTGATCATCATTTAAATACGTAAACCATCACCTGTCTTCTATCCACGCTATCAGCATTATTTTAATTGGTGTGTGTGTGTGTGTGTGTGTGTGTGTGTGTGTGTGTGTGTGTGTGTGTGTGTGTGTGTGTGTGTGTGTGTGTTTTCCACTTCAAACACTGGTCTAACCAACCAGACCAGCGTGTCCAGTAACACATTAATGTTACAATTAAACTTGATTAACCCCAGAGCCACGCGCACTGCGCTGTACTGACTGTAAATGAGGGGGAAACTATTTAATCGGATCCTTTTCTTTTCAACATGGTTTAATGTAAAGTTTCATTCAGTACAAACTTTAGTTACACCAATCTAACGAGACAGAGCCTAGATTTGTATTCTGAACAGTTTAAACATGTTTGAAACGGAGACGTGCGTGACGCGTCTAAAATTCGCACCTGCTCCGCTATTACGGAAATTAAACTAACAAGATGAATAACATGAACTTATAGGCACAGACAACATCCCCCCACACTTTTGAAAAGCTTGCAACGCGCCTGATCGCTCATGTACGTCTTAATTATCTTTCATTAGACGATAATCAACAAAAAAATTTATATAAAATGGATCCAGAAGTTGTAGCCCGTCTCTGCCTTCAATTTTGGGTATTTTTCACCCTGTTGATGGTTTTACTGAGCAGGTGCCACTTTTGTCCTATGTTTCTTTTTAAAACATGTTTAGACTGTTCAGAATACAAATCCAGGCTCTGTCACGTTTGATTGGTGTAATTAAACTTTGTAGGTGGGGTTAGGTCAGAAAGCAGCTCAGAAGCGCCGATATGATTACGCACAAGGGTGACGCATCAACCCGGTCTCACAGTAAGACCGGGTTGGAACTGTTCAGGTTTACGCAGACAATCTTTACATTTAGAATTAGCTTACAGATGTAAAATTAATGCAGTAAAATATAAAGCTTTTTATTTAAATATCCATTCATTATTTCACAAGCACAGAGAGCCGCATCAGATGGATGGAAGAGCCGCATGCGGTTCCAGAGCCGCCGACCCCTGTGCTAGCCTACTTTATTGTCCCCAGCAATTTTTAAACCCCACTCAAGTGTATGGTTATTGTCCCCAGCAATTCTGAAAACAAACTGACGCCCTTGGTAAAATGGCAGACTCAACAAGTAAAGCAGCTGATTCTGAGCCCAGAAGATGTTCTAACAGTAAATAAACGTATTAATGAGTCCTTACCCTGTACGATTTGTCGCTGGACATGGTGCTGGCTTCTCGCTTAATGTGTCAGCAGTGAACAAACACCCCGAAGGCTGGAAAACGTTTTTTTTTGTTTTGTTGTAGCACTACCATCTCCAAACACTAGATGTCGCCAGAGTATCCGTGTTCCGTATTTAACCTTTATCAGACAAGAGTTATATTCTGACGGTGGCGAGATTCAGGAAAAGTAATTTCCTGTCATGTATACAATGTCCGATGTGTCAAGTTTTACGCTAACAACATGGGTGTTAATATTCAGATTTTGTGTCAGCAGCTTCTTTAGAAACTGTAAACAAATGAATTAAATAGTAAGGTTGAAAGCTTTAATTCTGAATGATTTATTTAATGCTAACTACTCTTTGACCTAGAAGTTACCCAAACTTTCTTTTCTTTCTGCAGCATCCCTTCCTGAAGCTGGCAAAACCTCTATCCAGTCTCACCCCTTTAATCCTGGCTGCCAAAGAGGCGATGAAGGGAAATCGTTAAACCCCTCGAGTTTAAAGACTGTGCAAAGTGCAAGCCAGGGACCACCATCAGTCTTCTACTGCTTTATATACAACGATCAACAATCTACAAGTCTTTATGATTTTTCTGTCATAAAATGCTGCTCCACTTTCCCTAGTGTGTCAGTACTGAGGCCCTGTCCACACGTAGCCGGGGATCTGCCAAAACGTAGATATTTTTCTACCTTTTGGCCTGTCATCCACACGAAAACAGAGTTTTTTCACACGAAAACGGATCTTTTTAAAAACTCCGGCCAAAGTGAAGATCTGCATTTTCTCCGTTTTGGGTGTCTGCGTGTGGACAGACAAAACCGGAGTTTTAAGGTCTGCAACGTCACTTTCCGCGACACAAAAATGCTGACATCACGTGTGCGACCTGTGTTTACACTAGCCGACAGCATGGATGCCCTCAGAGCTGCGCTCGCTTTATCAATTGTCCAAGCGCTTTTTGCTTGTTTGTTTTTGCAAGTGGAATTACTGCTCCTTGCGGAAGACCACAGACGAAGGACGAGGTTAAGAACGGGGGAAGTACAACCGCCTACAGGTCTGGCATGTCCTTAACAACGTATTTATCCGGGTACGTGTGGACAGAGTTTTAAAACGAGGTGGTGTGGATGCAAGTTTTTGGAGGGGCTGATATTCGTTTTTTTAAAAACCCGGCTACGTGTGGACTAGGCCTGAAACTACTGCTCGGACCTTTGTGCCTTGATCCAAAGCCGCATGCAGCCCTAATGTGTTCTCTCTTTTATTCTACAGTGTTTGGGGCAGAGCAGGAATCCAGTATCACTTTACTCTAAACATACCATAAACCACATTTACAGCAAAAGTCTATTAAAATCTGTGTAATTTATCCCTCCCGGGCTTCAGTAAGCCTCATTTACTGAAAATAAGCAAATATTTTAAAAAGTTTGCCAAAGTGTTGTTTCTCTTTAGAAGCACCTGTACAGCTACTTTCTGTGCTTTCTGTTCCAAGAGGTTTGAACGGTTCATGAAACTAAAACTGCTGTAGAAAAACTCAGGGTGAGACAATGGTCTTAGTGCAGACAAAAAGCCAAATGAGTCTTTATTCTTCTTTTAATCTCAGTGAAATCACAGCATTCCAGTTGTTGGTCGGTTCTATATTTAAGTTATGATTGTTTTTGTAATTGGAGTTTCAAAATTCCAGATTTTAGGTGGTCTCTTTTGGGCTCTAAATGTTCTCTTTCATGTATTTTAAACATTGCGAGGACACAATCTAGTCCAACCCATGTCAAACACAAGTTCATGAACTAAACACAAAGCCATAAAGCCATGTTTTGACTCCATTTGACTAATTTTTATGTTTAAATTGTTCCTCTTTTGCTGTAACTTCTTGTTGTTGGTCTGTTGTTTGTAAAACACAAAACTTTTTTATAATTAAATGTTAAACTGGAGGTAGGTTTTGTATTTTAAACAACTGATAATATATGTTATTGTTTATTCTTCGTAATTGACAGCAAGAGACAAACTTTGCTTGATTTTCTGATGTATCTCCTGAAAACACAATTTCTCCTCTCAGTTATGGACTCCAAACCAAATACTACAATTGGAAATTCAAAATGGAGTTAGAGAAATTTTGATAAAAACCAGTTAAACAAGTTTATGCATCTGCATGTTTGTCTACATATCATATCAACAAGTTTATTTGTCTACATAAACACTCACAAGTAGACAGCATTTTGTATGTGAAAGTGCAGTCCTTTGCGGCCAGGAGCACATCCCTTGAAGGAACATAGGTATTAGCATTACCTGTGAAAATTTATTTGCAGGAAACAAGTGTGTCCCATTTATTGAAGTCATTTGTGTTTAGAGTTTTTGTCATCTTGTCCATGCAGAGCTTCCGTAGTTCAGTTACGTCCATTGCTGCTAGCCAAAACTCATTGGAGTAAAAGGGTGTTTCTCAATGTCAAGGCACCTTGCCTTGCGTATATTAATGTCGATGCTTGCGAGGCGATGTCTTGCGAAGCCAGGCGCCTTGCTTACGAGGACACTGTCCTTCCTTGGTCAAAGAATACGGTTAAATGAAACAGACTTGCATCACGTGACCACAATTCAGCACACCGATTTCTCTCACGAATGCAGGAAGGTTCACAAATGAGAAGCTGTTCGTGAATGCACCACACAGATTTCACTCACAAACGCAGGAAGGTTCACAAATGAGAAGCTGTTCGTAAATGCACGTTCAGCAATTCGTATGATCTGTGAGTTTATATTACAAGTGTTCTTACAAATTATATTTGTGAACCACAGAGTGTGAACTTCAGAATTAGCGTGTGCATTTGTGGAAAATGTTGCGTGACATTTTTTCACATTATATTTATGAGTCAAAGAGTGTGTGCGCACACACACACACACCTTTATGATGATCTCGCAAACGCTGAAAACGCACGTGGCGCTGCACGTGACGCGGCCTGTTTACGCTTTATTACGTCACTTTGTTACGTCATCCTGCCAGCCTATAAATAGGGCGCTAGAACCCCTTTGTCAGTCAGTCAGCTAAGCTTAGCTGGAAGGATGAGTGGGTTCGGGGATCTCTTGTCAACTCGTACACTCAGAAATTTCTGTAAATTTACTGTAGAATTCCAACAGTAACATACCGTTTTTCCAAATTACGGTAGGATAATGTTAAATCTGATGTTTTTTCTGTTGAATAACGACAGCTGGAAAATTACGGCAAAAAACGGTCTGGTCTAATACAGTATTTCCTTTGAAGCACATTTTTGAAGTTGTCAACTTGAATAGCCAGTTACGTTGAAGAAGAAGAAAAAGAAGACAATCACTCTTCATCCTCCAACTTGAAAGCTTCTGAAGGGTGAGTTTATCACTCTTAAGAATGTAAATCATGGTTTTGGTAAGTATTAAGTCAATATATAGATCACCAGAAACCCACTTGTCAAAGTTTAGCATACTTACAAAACATGACACGAAATGAAACATCACTTGCACCATAGTAATTTTAGGAGTTTTATGGTGGAAAGTTAAATATTTATTTTTAATGACTGGAATTTTAGATTTGTCATGTAGGACCACGTTTTCGTTTTTCATCTTTGTACATTCATGCTAGCGTTAGCATCTGAACTGGAGGCTCTTTAGTGAGATATTTCATTAATAACTATTAATGTGCATCAGTGCCACTGCTGGGCTCTCTATCAGGCGTACCGTGGTTGGCGGACATTCTTTTTGGGCCAACAGTACCGACCATCAACATATATACTGGACAATTCATTTCCATAGGCTCCAATAACACATTTTTGAGCCAAAATGGGAGGTGGCCACCACCGCCATTTTGACCGTGTCACAGGTTGCGTCAAGCCCAGACAATTCCACAAAAGGCAAGAGAGGTGGAGCTGAGGGTGGGGCTGTAAGGCTGGGATCAACTGACGACACCCGGTCGAACTAGCTACAAGCTAACCTGAAGCTAACCCAAAGCTAACGCAGAGGTGGGAGCTAAGCTAACGAAGGTAGCAACCATCGACATATATGGTAGCAACCTAGCTACAACCGGAGTTAACTGCTCAACACCAGAGCTTCTGAGTCAGAGATACGCTGGGCTGACCGCTGGGTAAAACCGGGTGGAACACAGTGGTCTTCCGAAAGCTGCTGAAAGCCGGCAGCCCCCGCAGCAGACAGAAGCCGCAATCAGACAGAGATGCGCTGAGCTGTGGCGAGGGGAGAACCACAAGCCGGCAGCCCGCGCAGTAGAGCCCTGCACTGAAGCCCTAGGCCCTCGGGTCGGCCTGGCCCGTGGGCCGGGCCTCGGGCCAACAGCTGTGTAATTACCTCGGACACGGGCCGGGCGCCTTTATTTTTAATCAAATTCATAAAAAAAGTTGAAACACTTAAATGCAGCAGTAGAACCCTGCGCGGGACTGTTTTCTTCATTCCTTTCCTGCCCGCTCCCGCTGGATTTCTGACCATTACCGCCCGCACCCCCAGCGTGCATGTCTACTCCTGCCCGCAACCGCAAAACTCGGAGAAATTATTACCTCACAATAAAAGAGATGTATTGAGTTTGCATCCTCAACATGTCATTTTATAGGCAATACCGGGGGTCAGCAACCCGCGGCTCTTCCATCCATCTGATGCGGCTCTCTGTGCTTGTAAAATAATGAATGGATATTTAAATAAAATGCTTTATATTTTACTGACTTAATTTTACATCTGTATGCCAATTCTAAATGTAAAGATTGTCTGCGTAAACCTGAACAGGTCCAACCCGGTCTTACTGTGAGACCGGGTTGACGCGTCACGCTTGTGCGTAATCATGCGCTTCTGAGCTGAAGAGGATGTGAGATTCTGGGCTTCTCCTCAGACGGCTCCTGGATGTGTCGCCACAATGGAGACAGGAACAAGCACTATTCAGCCAAAGTTTCATAATCAGGGAACATTTTCTAAGTGATAAGTCTCTTTGAGAGTCAGGGTTTGGAAAACGCTCGCTTCAGTGGGAGGAATCTTCCCGCATGCGCACTGGTTCTGCGACGCGCTCCAAGCTCCTCTCCACATCTTCAGCTCGCTGTGTACCTTATGTAGTGCACGCTGACAGCGAGCTGCGCTGAGCAATGTCCAGCTCAGATGTTCAGATGGGAATCTTTTCTTGAGTGATTTAGCTACATCTGCAATGTGTGTAGAATAAAATGTCAGTTCGTCTGCATGCGTCGGGGTAATTCTTTCTATTATTTCTCCGTCAAAATAAACCGTCAAATACGGGAACTATCCGGTCAACACAAGCCCTGCTTTTAACTGTTTTGTTTTCTTGTGAAAATAGATCAAATTAAACTTGATTAACACCAGAGCCAGGCGTACAGTGCAGTGCGCATGTTTCTGGGGTTAATCAAGTTTAGTTGTTTCTCTTTGCAACAATCTTCACAAGAAGGCAAAACAGTTAAATGGCAGGTTACAGATATTTCCATTTGACTGTTTATTTTGACGGATAAACTCAAGGATGTTGGTTGTTTTGAAAGAATTACCCCGACGCACACTGATGCGCATGGATGAGCTGACATTTTAATTGTTAACGCACATCGCGGAGGTAACTAAATCAAGAAAAGATTCCCATCAGAACATCAGAGCTTTATACTGGACACTGGCGGACAGTGAGCTGATGATCTGTAGAGGGTTTCACAGCGCAGCGCAGAGCAGAACCACGGTGCATGCGATAAGATTTTCCTCCCACTGAAGCGGTCTGGAAACCCAGTCTCTCTGAGGGATGTGTCACTTGGAAAAATGTTCTTTTTATGAAATTATGAAACTTTGGCTGAACAGCGCTTGTTCCCGTCTGTAATATGGAGACGCATGACGCATCCAGTCTGAGGCAGAATAACCTCTTCAGCAGCTCATAAAGCACCTGTAGAGACATTTGATTACGCACAAAGTTTATGTGGAACAGAAGCGGTCGGGCCACGGCAGGTGAAATGTTCCTAGCCTACGTGAAGTGAAACTGTTTAATTGTAACATTAATATGTTACTGGACACACTGGTCTGGTTGGTTAGACCAGTGTTTAAAGTGGAAAACACACACACACACACCTACACACACCCACACACACACACACACACACACACACACACACACACACACACACACACACACACACACACACACACACACCAATTAAAATAATGCTGATAGCATGGACTAGAAGACAGGTGATGGGTTACGTGTTTAAATGATGATCGGGCTGCTGTAAAATGTAATCTCCATCCACATCCAGACACAATTATCCTCTATTCTTTCTCTAGTTGCTCTGCTCTTGTCTGCGCTGACGTAGCTGACGGTGCGCGCGGCGCGCCTAACTAGCGGCTGATGCACATTTTACGCATTTGGAGAGGTGGGCTGGATGCTTTGCTTTTACTGGAAGATGGTCCACTTAACGCACGGGTGTAGACTACACGCTGACGTCGTTAGGTCCGTTTTAGGGGGGCTTCAGCCCCCCTAAAATAATCACAAGCCCCCCTATCATTTTGGTTTATTTTATTTTTTCAGTTAACTTTTTTTTATTTGTTCACATCTACATGCTCAACACAATCATGACACGTGTAGTTGGTACATGAGTTTTTTTTAGTCTGAAACAGAAATAATAATTAATGAATATAGAACTACACCGTCGCACACAGGAAGTATCAAGAAAGGACTTCCTCCCCTTAAGCCCGGCAGCTTTGTTGACAAGTCAGGGGCAGGGGTTATACAGCAAAACCTTTATATCGATGAGCAAACCCTGCTCAGCGCTCTTGTAAGTCACTCAACATCACATTAGGGTAAGACAGCAACAGCAGCACACCGTTAATATTTCAAGGTTATAGTTCAAAGGAGAGAGGAAAATGTTACCGCACCGACATGCTAATGCTAACTCCGCTAGCATGTTTACATGCAGCAAACCATAATGAAAAGCCGCGCCATAGTTAAATTGTCGGAAAACTCCCCTGAAGTGACGTGATTAACGAGCCAGCCAGTTCATTGAGTGACAGTGCCACCAACTTGAGCGTACAGTAATGAGTCTGCACAAACAGAACCTGCTCTGCGCTTGTGTGCAGGAGCTGCAGCCCTCTGTGGGCTCAACTCTGTCTCTGCGATGCAAATCTCTCCCTGCTCTCCTCAACA